CTCCCCACCGCCTCCCTCTCCCCGCCGTGCCTCCCGCAGGAAGCAGGGCAGACCGAGGCCCCTCTGGATGCCGCGCTGGGCGTGGAGCCACCGCCATCTAGTGAGACGGGGATGGAGAACCAGCCGTGTCCAGCGGCCGGAGGGCCCCCCAGCACCCCCTGCCTCGCCGGCTGCCCCCTCTACTTTGTGTTTCCTTTTTCCCCTCAGACCAGAAAGTGACTGTTTTCGAGTGGAGGCCGCGATGGCCCAGCAAGCCCCGCACAGCCCTGCAAGGGGATGCGCTGCCCTTCACACGCCTCCCTGTTTGAAATACATGGGCAAAGAGAAATTAAAATAAATTGCTAAAACCACACGCCAACTCAAAGCCAAACTTGCAGGTGCAAGGGATCCTGGTGTCCCGTTCACTGCGGGAGGTGGGTCAGGGCCATGGCTGGGAGGTGGAGCAGGAGAGGAAAGACAGCAGTCAGGTTCAAATGAAAGGGGTTTTAGGGTCAAAACGGGGTTTTAAATTAGTATTTCGTGTATTTGTGGAGCAGGTGACAGGAGTATCTTTCTCATCATGACAGCAGTTCAACACCGCAGAGTGCAGGCTTTACTGAGCAGCTCTGACAAACTCCCGCCGAGGACAAGAGCACCCTGCCTCAGAAGTGCAGGTGTTCCTGCTCTTACAGGGCTCTTCCCGTTCTTCACTCCAGTGGCTTTTAATGGTCCACATAAAAGACAGCGAAGGAGGCAGGTTTTTGCTTTTTTTTTACTATAGAAAATGCTCAATTAGAGGTGCAGGACGGGAGGAGGATGCAAAGCATCCCCTAAAGAACCTTAAATTATGTTATTCAACTGAATAAATAGGTCTCATCAGGAACATATTTTCTTTAGCTGCAAGTGCTTAAGTACTTTTGAGTATTTATCGATGTACTTGAGTGTACATTTTGATGATGTCGGTGCTTTTTTCCTTTACGTTTCGTAACAGTGGCAGAAAACTCAAAGCTGGAGAGTGTGGCTAGAGAAGCTGTTTCACATGAAAGAAGGGCAGAGGATGCTCGGCATGTGCCCCGCGCCTCAGGTAACCGCGGCTTTAAACCTCTCGGAGCCCGTACGTGCGATCCGTGGCACAGAGCAGGGAAGGGGCTCCCGAGCCACCCAGGGGGTGCGAGGCCTC